TTTACGTTTACATATTGGACAACCTATATTAATTGAAATGAAAAAAATAAAACTCATTTCAGTAAAAGTGATTAAACAAATCAGTTCTTAATCATAAATTTGAGATCAAAGGATTATAATGATAAAATTTCTACTTATATAGACATATACATTATTCAAAACTGTTGTAATATATCAAGTATACTTCATATATTATCTATGATTAACTAATAAAATATTTCAAACAAGACTATAGTTCTGTGTTCTTTTTTGTTCAGTTTAGATCGATGGAAAATTTTTGAATCTTGATATTCTTGTCAGAATATTAACTAGGTATTCAAACAATTTAAAATACATGTATCCAATATTAAGCATTTTTAAAAACAAGTCGTATGATTAATATAGATTAAATATATATATATATATACATACAGAAATTGTCGATAACAGGTGGTATGAAAGTATCTGAACGACGCTCACGTTTAACACTTCGTGTTTGAGAAGGTCGTACGTTGATATTGCTAGATTTATCGTTTTTAAATGGTTTTATTTCATGTACTGGTATAATTTTTTCACCTGCTCTTACAGAACGATATTGTGCCATATCATATGTATGTATATTTCGTTTATTTGCAGGATTTTTACGACAAACATTTGGATGTTTGACAAAAACTTCTTGGTGCATTCGTCTTAGACATATTGGACATTGAATTAATTCTTGTAGTACTTTGTTAGTATCATCATTAATCTCATTCATATCGTCAGTTTTGTTGTTCATTCTGTTTGAAAGAATTTACATTATGTTTTACTACTCAACATATGTGTATGTTGTCCGTTATCATGGAGATATTATCGGTGCAACTCGATAAATGCAGATAGCTTCTATGTACCTTTCTCCATCTGCCTTAATTGTTCCTTTTTTTTTCTCTCATTCTGTTTACATATCTCACCTTCTCTGACAGATATTTAAGTAAATATAAGGTCAAATAATTTATGTCACTTTTTTGTATTCGTAATCGTTGTCAACTAGTGAAGAATCTTGAAAGAATAATATACCTATTAAGACCTCACTTTAAATATAAGTTTTGCAAAAATTTCCAGCCAGACAAAAATAGACACAAATTTTACTTAAAACATCTATCATAAGATTAAAAACTATTGAAAAATTGAATAATTTTATTCATGTATAATGGTCAGATGAATCTGATTCAAAGTTGACAAATGATTTACAACTTATGAACGATATTTTTTTTTCTATTAATCGTTGAGTTAAATTATAATGTTTTTCTAATTCACAACTACTATCAACATCAATAACTTTTCGAGAAGATTTCAATGTTGAATAGAATTTATAAAAAAATCAAGGACTAGATAAATCATATTGGTGATGTAGTTCATTGTATGTGTACTGCTATTTAGATATTTACTTCAATAGAATTTGATAGTTGAGCAGGTTCGTTTACAATTAGAATTGACTAAAGGATAAAGATAATATATTCATGGGCTACTAACTAAAATATGAGAAAAAGTTAGGAAAGTTTATGCTTTCTTGTATTTCAATGTATGTTTGTCATGATTTTTTTTTCTTACGAAAATTTCTTTAAATTGTCAATGCATAACAATATTAAAATGTGACCTTTTCAGTCGATCCTAGTTTAACTGAAATAAAATATCCATTCTTCTTTATGCACTTCTACATCATCTTATATACATATATGTGATCTTCTTTCTATTCTTTTCTCTCTCGATATAATCATACATACATCCATTTGTGAACAATGTCTTTCAAAAACAACGATATATACAATGCATATATATGTATATATATATACGCATGATTCTTTTCCATGTGCTATCTCTTTTTGAAGCTGTCGAACTAGATAGTCTATCTGCTATACAGTCGGCCGCATAAATAAGTATTTATATATATTAGATTCAGATTATTTTAAAATTAAAATAAGCAAGTTTTTGAACGATAATGGATGAGAAATTAACAACAATATCTACTTCTCCTGATTCAAGTATGATTTCTTCTTAATATTCAATCTATCCTAATTTTATGAAGAATTTTTTGTTTTGTTCATTTAGTATTATCAGAATTTTCATCGCATGATTCTATTGGTAGCAATAGTACTGTTTCTTCTTTATCTACCATGTCAGTACTTCCACCACTTCGTTCATCATTTACAATGGCTAACATCAATAATATTACAAATTTCAATGACGATCAGAGTTTTTTTCTCGATGATTTCAATTCAGAACGATTTTCTACAGTATCCCGATGGTAAATCAATTGAATTTTTTCTTTTGAATATCTTTATTCTTTTTGTTCGTTTTTATAGGCAATCGGATGCCGAAAATCTGAATCTTCAGTCCAATTCTTCAATTCAACAACCATCTTCAAAATCGACTTATCTTATCAATGATTTTCTGTAGGTTAATAAATAATATTCAACATAAATTAATTAATGACTTATTCAATTTAGAACCAACAGAAATATGACTTCATCATCTATAACTGATGTATTAATCTCACCAATGTCTCGTTTATCGACATCATCATCAATTATGTCATTTAATAGTATTGGTAATCATAAAACGACTAATCAACGATCGGTTAGTTACACTAAAAGAACTTTCATTAATTTTCTTATTATCCTTCATATTCTAAATAATAATTTAGTTTCGATCAGAATTTAAAAATTCAACTGAACAATTAACTATGTCAAATGGAAATATATTTCCTTCGGCATCTTCATTCTTGCCATTACCAACACCATTATCAAATCGTCAAACACTTTCATCCATCGAAAATATTCCATCAACTATGGCAGATAGTGATCTTCAACGAGTACCACATTCGTGGGTACTCATGTCATCAACATTACCCAGTTATGGTATAGAGTCGGATTATTTACTTGTAAAAAAAAGAAATAGTTTAAGTATTATAGAAACGGGTCCTATTGTTCAACAACAACTACCGGCGCCACAACTAATTCATAGTGCAAATCGATCGAATTCAATGCCATCCTGGCGTGGTTGTTTACCCATGAAATTCGAACCCATGTTAATGGATCAATATCAAATGACAAGTAATTTCTCACAAAAAGTATTTCTCGGTGGTATTCCTACTGAACTTACTGAAGGTTAGACAACAAAATGTTTTCTTTTATGATCTCTTATATTTGATGTTTTTCTTTGTCTAGCTGAACTTTTACTTATTTTACGAAAATTTGGCAAATGTAATATTAAATGGCCAAAAAACGATGGAATCAGTCACAACATGCCCGGTTCGGCTCTTCTTTTTTTTTTCTTATTTAGTATATACACTGTTTCAGACAAAACGAAACATATCCATTTTTTACAAGGATTATTTTGGCATAGACATCTATATATATAATGTTTAGTGTTTATCTGACGTGTCTATGCCCAGGTCAAATAAGGCTATACATGGAAGGCTATAAGTGCTGCTATACTGGGATACCCATAGGTCCTCACGGACTATTATATGAAGATACCCTTCTAGGGCTATTATGTAGGAATACCCGTAGATCCTAAAGGGCTATTACATGGAGGCACTCATAGGTCTTCAAGAGTTATAAGGCTATAAGGGGTAGAGGATAAGGGTAAAGGGATAAAACTAAAAGAGTATAGTGGATAAGTAGAGGAGGCTGCATGAAATATAAGGGAGAAAAGAATAATGGAATAAGGTTATAAGAGGTAATACCACAAGAGTATAAGGCTACAAGAGTGTAAGACTTCAAGGATATAAAGCCTCTCGATATATATAATGCGAACTGTCTGATTCTCTATTACCGAATCAAGGCTAAAGGACAGATGTGAAACTTTACAGGAACAAAACATCCGTACAGTATGCACGGACTCTCGCTAGTATGTAAAAATATTAGCTCTTTGAGTTAACTATTAGTTAAAATTAATTACAAAAAATATCTCTCTATAGCCTCTATGGCATGAAGTACATCTATGGTGAAGTTTTCAGGCACGATCGAACCCAAAAAAACAAAACTTTTCTTAAAAACTGATTTTCTAGAGATTCTGAAGAATAGTTTGCACCATTTAGAATTAATTTTAAATTTCTCATTCAGTTATAAAAGCGTTTTTTTTTTCGTTTGTATATTCACATTCCGTTATATCGCTAACGAAAAGTAAATCTATTTTTCTTTGAAAAATCTACGTATACTCAGATAAAATTTTGGATAGAGATTTCATAATTTCAACAATTCATTTTTATTTGTTTATTATATAGGTTTTTGTCATGTAGTATTTCGTGAATCACGTTCTGTATGTGAACTTCTTAAACATTGTATTCGACAACAACATTCAACAATTGATTATTTTCTTCATATTCATATGACAACATCATCATCATCATCATCAATTGATTTATCTATGCGTACAAATCGATTAAAACCAGTATTAAGCTTTTTTTTTGTTTTTAAATTTTTATTTTATTAAACTTATTTGAATATAGATTCAAGTTGTACCATGGAATGTAAGAGATAATGTATATGTCATGCAAAAATTTGATACATCAAATGGTGATATAATATTCAAAGATTGGTCACGTACAATATTTATATCACCATTACATGGTAAAATGACAGCATTTAGTTTAGCTACAATTATGTCAAATGTATTTGGATCAGTATCAATGGCTCAAATAAATACAGATAAATATGGATATCCAACAGGTAATAAATTTGAAAAATAAAAAATGATTTGTTTTTAATCAATTGAAATTATTTAGGTACTGGTACAGTATTATTTTCGGATTCACATAGTTATATGCGTGCAGTAGCTGCTAGTTCTATTGATATTAAATGTGATTGTTTTCATAAATTGGTGATTTTTTTTTTTCATATGTTTTTTTTTTATTATTATTGATAATAATTAATATTTTTAGCTTGATATTGATCCATTTTTACGTGAAAATGAACCTTGTGCATTTTGTTCAGCAATTGCTGATTTATTTTGTCGAAATTTTCATTGTTTAAGATCTTATTGTAAACAATGTTGGGTAAATAAACATGGACCAAAACCACTTGCTGATCATCAACCAACAACACGACGACAACAACCGTTACCTCATATATAAAATTAATTCTAAACCGTATTGAAAATGATGTTATACTCTTTTTTTTGTATTTTGTTTTCTTTTTTTCTATGCAATGTGTGTGTGTGTGTGTTTTTTTCTTGTTTGTTCTCGAAAAGATTTTTTTTTTGTTTTTCATATGTTTGAAACTATTTGTGAAAAGTAGACATTGTGCTTTTCTGATATATATGTTTGTATTGAACTATTGTTTGATCGTCAAAAGAAAATATTTTGTCGATCGATCGATCGATCGATCCTGTTTTATTTGAACTAATAATAATCAAGTTTTTCTTTTTTGTTTTTATTCCTATTGTATATTATTGTATAGTGATAGTTTTACGAGTAAAACGAAGAGAGTGTTTTATTTCGTGTGTCTTGTTGTGGTCAAGAAGATTTTGTATTGATTTTTCTTCGAGAACAATACATTTTATATATTAGAATAAACATATGGATGTTTAAAGATGCTTGTCTTTTGGAGTGATTTTTTTTTTTTTGATAAATAATTTTTCATATACATATTATGATGTATAATTAAAGAAGATTGAAGATAATTGTTGGATTTTAAAAATATTTTCTATAGTAACAGAACAGTATAATCAAGGCTGCTATTGAAATAATTACTGTTATGGCACATACAATGCGTCGTAGAAAATGTTTTCTTTCGTTCTGCTATAGATGTTTTTCATTAGTATGTTCTTTGTTTTCTTTTATATATGTTCGTTCTTTTTCTTTAATCGAAATACTCTTGTTTGTCCTTTTCATCTCTATATTTTCTCTGATCATAAAAAGTAATAAAGAAAGAAATTATATCTTTGTTCTTAATCTATGTTAGTGTAATTGCGCATTTAGGATTTAGTAACGAAAGATATATATATATATATATGTGTGCAATCTTTTGTAAAGGAGTACATTAATAGAACGACATAAATATAAGAAAAAGTTAGTGATTGTTGAATAGAGATTGATTCAACAAATAAGTAACGGGTTAAAAACTTAAATAACCATATATACATCAATGTAAATAAGGATGTAACAATTATGTTGTACCGTATGTGATAAGACATGATGTAAATAAGATATTATACTATGAAAATACGGTCCTAATACAACGTATCGATTTTTGACGAAAACAATCTTGAATGACGTCGTTTACATTCTGATAAAAAAGTGTATGTAATCTAGGATGACAGGTTACAGTCTAAAAAATGATTATCTGTTTTCAACAGTTGGAATGATAACAAATAATCACTATCATCATAATTATTAAAATACTAGTATCACCGAAGTAAAATATATTTTTGTCATGTTGCTTTTTGTTGTAGATTTTTCTTTTTTTTGCAAGTCAGAGATTTATAGTAAAAACTCGTATGAATTTGAGATATGTTACGAATTCTTCTAGATTATTTAATTAAATCATCTTTAATCTTCTTATGAATATAGAACAATATCTATTTTGAAAAGTTTTATCTTTATTTAAATAACTAGAATGAAGTTTATGAAGGAATATAGAAAAAATATTGATAAATAATCAATTGACTGCAAAAAATTTACATTTAAAAACAAATTGTTTCTCCATTAGAATCGTTTGTTGCATGTGATAATTGTTGTTTATTACATTTATCCCAAACATCTTGAATTCTATGTTGAGTATCATATTCTTCACGTAATCGCCAAAATGCATCAACAAATGTAATAAAATCAACTGTTTGAAGTCGTTTACCATTAAATTTTTTATAATAATTTGCTAATATTTGTCCATATTCTTCTCGATAAAATTGTTTTAAATGACGAGCATAAACAAGTAATGCTGTACCTGTATGAAATTCATCAGCAAAAAGTATAATTAAATCATTATGAATATGATTATCATTAAACCATTTTCGAATATCATTTGATGTCCAATTTTTTAATGAATTTTCTTGTTTATCCGATTTTGTTGAAATTATATTATTGGATGATTTTTGTGTTATAATAGACTTTTGATCAACAGCCAAAATAGAAAGAAGTTCATGAAGAGCACTTGTAAAAATACTTCGTCCAAAATGTACATATTTTTGTCCAGCTATACGAATTCCAAGCCAACCATTTGCTTTATAAGTTTGATTTGGAGGATATACAGGTACAATACGTTTTTTTAATGTATCACAAGCATAGGAAAGTTCTTGTCTACATGATTTTGAATCATAATATTCTTTTGATACAATTAAAACAATAATAGTAGCTGTTTCCATAGCACCAGCAATTTCTTCCCAAAGATCATCTGAATAAATACTACTATGTTCTTGTTTATAATCAACCCAAACAGGTATATGATTAGATAAATGTTCAACAAGTTCATGACAAAATATTGAATTACAATGTGAATAACTAATCATAATATGTGATTGTTGTTCTGAATTTTCTTTTGTTGTAGGTAAATATGAAAATTTTAAATTCCATAAAATTCCTTCGGCTGCTTTTTTTATTGAACTTGTATCACGTGGAATTGCTTTAATTTGTGTAGTTGTATATAATAATGATGATGTAGCTAAATTTGATAATTTATTCATAAAATTAATATTTGATTTGAATTTTTCATGGTAAGATTCATGAAATGATATACTCCATAAAAGATTAACTAATCCTATTAATGTTTCATCATTCAAAAATTGATCAAGTCGGTTTGTATTATGTGTCATTGTTGCATTTTTAATAAGTAATTGACATAAACAATCTAATAATTGATTATGTTCATTTAAACATTTGATAAGTAATTCATCATTAATAAATAATTTACTTAAAGCACATAAAACTTCTGCTACATGACAACATTTGTAAAAATATACACCAGTTTGTGAAGCAGTCATTACAAATGAAATCATTTGATCAAGTATATGACAACCTTGTTTATTAGGTACAATAACTTTTTGTTTGATTGTACTGGCTTCTTCAAGTAAAGCATGAGTTATACATTGAATAAAACGAATACATAAATAATCTTCTTCATTATGATCTTTTTCCATTTGTTCATGACTTTCAGTTAGAGCATTAATACAATCTAATTGGTTTAATACTTCAACAGAAATTGTATGTCGAGCAAGTTTTGATAAAATAAGATTAATTAAATAATCAGTTTCATATAATGGTCTTGGTCCAGTTTCTTTTATCCATTGAATACATGCATTTGGCCATTCAGTACGAATTACCATTGGTACTAATGTTGGTGTTCTACTAAATACTTTTATTAAATGAAGAATATTATTAATAATTGTGTTTCTTTGTTGATTTTGCCAATTACTTTTAGTAAATTCAAGTAAAAATGAAAGAAAATTTGGTGGTAGATCAGCTTCATTGACTGGAAGTAATGGACTTGAATAAGCAATGATAGGTAATAAACAATTAACGAGATGATCATATCTATTGTCATTTGTAAAATAATTTTCTTTAAGTAAAGGGATATAATTATGAAAAATAATTTCAAGACGATATGAATCTTTAATTGCAAGAAATAATTCTAATAAACATAAACCATGAAATGTATTTGATAATGCTTCTAAAAACAAATTTGTTTGATGCGAATTTTCATCATCATCTGATAATTTTTTATCAAAAATTGGAATTATTCGATATAAATTATCAATAATAACAACACCAAATGGTTTATTTTCCATTAATCCATTTGGTGTTGCATGTTTTAATTGAATAATTAAACGTTCAATTATATTTGAATATTTATTTGCTGTTTCAGATAAAGATAAACTTTTCAAATCATTGGCAAAATCATTCGTAGCCATTTGATAATGCGTATAAGTTAGGTCACCACTCATTTGTTTGTTTTTTTTTTCTTATATAAATTAATAATTGTGCGCGTATTATATATATAATATTACCTTTTGCATTAGAAATTTTTATACACGTTAGTTTTATTCATTACAGAACAAAAATAACGTTTGCGAAACTTTTATCGACAATTACCACGTCATACTTACGATAGCAGAAAAAAAATGCAATGCATTGTGCATCACATTGTATTTCGTAGCTGTAATGCTTAATTTCATTGGTTGAATAATCTTCTTTTTATATATATATATAATACGTTGAGTATATATAAATAGATGTACAGAAAAAGAAAAAATTAGGTGAATAGAACGAAATCTTGCACTTTTTTATTAATAATAGCAAACATATCTATGTCCAATTTCAATTTTATTTAATGTATCTATATAATTGTTTGCAAATTATTTTCGATCTAGAATTTATGATCATTATTTATAATATGAAATTACATAACTACATAGTTATTGTCATTTCTTAATTATTTTTGAACGATTCATTCTACTACAATTTGTATAAATGATGTATATGTATGCTATCGTAGAACATCAAAGACAAGAACATTTTCTCAGATTAGTTAAATTAATTTTGATTTGCATTATCCAGTGACAAAAAAAGACGTCTAGATCAGTTCTATATGTCCTTGAAATCCGTCATATCTAGTCTTTTTGTTTATCCGCCCATCCAGACTAGTCTGTAGAACATAACACAAATAAAAAACAATGAAGTTGAAAGGCGAATTCGACATATGACCTGACAACATTTGACGGTAGACAATGCCTTTATGATGACCTGATGTCATTTTTAACAGCCTAACTAGCAGAAAGAAGCGTCTAATTGCTATATAAACAAACATTGGTCGAAAATAAGTGACCTGACTAGTCTAATCAAATATCGAGTAAAGATAAATTTATAATTTTTTGAATTGAAGAGAAAATAAACAAATTTTAAACTTGATTCATCGGTTGTATTAAATATTGATATGACATTATATTCGTCATAAAAAAATTGATTAAAATCAGTAAAGATTTAATTTATTGATTGATCAACAATATATACGAATAATTACTTTGTCTTGAATAAAACTATGATAAATATTTGAATGATCTTTAAAATTGATTCAAATCTATGTTTATGAGAAATATAAAGTTCATTCGAAATTGTCATGACTTCAAGAAATGAAAGTCATA